CACTTCTGGCTCTTCTTACCTTGAGCTCCTGGTACCGACCATGGGTTTTGGCTGGAGGAGGCTTCACTGAGCAGGTCATGCCACCTAGATGTTGTTGAGCGAAGCCCCCAGACTCCTGGAGAGCAGGCCGGGAAGTGTTCTGTGTTCCAGAATCGGGAGTCTGGCCGACCTGGCTCCTGTGGGGCCATCACAATGGAGGGTGTAAGGGACAGCCCAGGCAGGACCTCACAGCTCCACTGTGAGCTAATTTGGAATCTCTAGGGTACGAACATGAGTCACAGCTCACTCAGGCACCCTAAGGATGAAGGTAACAACCCTGTGAACACCGGGACTGGACTGAGACCAGCACACCTGACGCATGGCTCCTGCGCTCTGACTCCTGGGCCCCCCAGCCATGCTGCTGAGGGCAAGTGGCCCCAGCTTACCATCGTCGCCCACCCTCGGTGGCAGGACAGACACTGCCCAGCAAGGTAGGCTCTGGCTGTCGCTGCATTTATTCAGGTCCTCTGGGAACACCCTGTAGAACTGTCTTGTCCAGTAGGTAGCCATTAGCTGTATGTGGCTATTTAAATTAAAGGAACATTAAATAAAATTTGAAATTCAACTCCTCAGTCACACTGGTCACATTTCAGGTGCTCAGTAGTCCCCTATGACTAAGTGGCTGCCAATATTGGACTGCAGTCACCACTTGGGGATTACCCAAGCTTTTACCTCTTGTGACCTGCCTTGCTTTGGCCACGTTGCAACTGCCCATTGCTTTGACTTGTAGAAGTTTGACTTTCATGTGACCCCCTTCAGCTCTTTAGCCTCTGCTCCCAGGACTTGTTCTGCTCTGCTTTGAGACTGGCTGCCCCCTCTCACTTCCAAAGGCCTCTTAGGTTTAGAACCCTAATTTATGTCATTAGCCCACCATTGCAACATATGGAAATTCTGGCCTTTGAGACAACCTTCCTTGAGTTCTCTTTGCCTATTTCTGAAATCAGGTTTAGCTTGATGCAGGTATATATGTGTGGAGAGTGAGACACACTGATTCCTCCATCTGGATTGTGAGCTTCTGCTGGACAGGAGCTTTTTCTTGGCAGAAATTTAAACACATTTGCGTGTATGTGCATAACTTCAACCGGATGAGGAATTAGGTAAATGCATCCTGTATAAACCAAAGAGGCATTCTCGTGGTCTTCTTCCAGCAAACCCTGGGGTTGGGAGTTGGGGGCATGGGGATTGAGGGTGGAGGGGAGAAGAGGGAGGAAGAGGATCTTGGCCTGGCCTACAGCCTGCTGTTATTCGCTGAATGCAGTGGCAGCAAATGCTGGGCTTTAGGTTCTGGATCACTCCCTGTCCTTGGAGGACTCCCTTCAAGGGGAAAAGCCTCTCCTCCGACCCCTAGAAGAACTTGATGTGCTGGGCACTCTGAAAATGGAGTGTTTTGAGCCTCCTCCTATAGGCAAACATCTAAGGACAATCTTTGGCAGTGTGCATACATAACCCTAGAATAGTGGAAGAAATGTTCAAATTTCAACTTAGAGGGTGTATAAAGGTCCGTTCAGAACACAGATTGGATGTGGCTTCACTGACCAGGCCCAAGTCCAAACTGGACTTGTTACGCTCTTGGCATCTAAGCTCTTGTTTTTATGATGGATTTTCCCATCAATTAATTACATGCAGCTCCTTTTCCACAATAACTGCAGCCAAATGGGCTCAGTCACTAGGACCAACAACTTTTTGTGCCATTCCCAGAGATTTGTTTTCTTGTTTAGCAGAAGGCTTTAGATTGCAGTGACCAGGCTGGCCACTGGGGTTGGGAGTGAGGTCATTCTTCAGAGGTAAGCTGTCTTGAGAAGCTCCAGGTTCCTCTGGCAGATGGAGGGAATCCTCTGAGAACCTGGAGTGAGCAGGTGGGCACTAAGGTCTTGTGGGGCTGTGACACGTGCCTGCCTTCAGCTGTGTGTGACCATTGGGCAGTCAGCCAGTGTGCATCTAGTCGAGAGCAAATGGACCTGCTAAAAATAAGCTGGCAGCTATTTCATTCCAACAGATTCAGAACAGCCAAGCCCCGTCTCCTCCAGCCCTTGGCCAGTGCTCTGCATCCTTTTCCCTGACTGGAGGCAGGCCTGCCTGCGTGGCCTGGGCCTCAGGAGTGTGTGTCTGTGTGTGGGGTGGTGGGGTAGGGGGTGAAACTTCAGTTAGCTTGTGAGTGGGAAGGCTTTTAGACCCTGTTAAATGCCACTTATATTTCAAGAGCTTTAGGTTTAAGAAAAAGGTGGCGGGGGAGGGGGGATGCGGTGCAGAGCGGTGCAAACAGCAACTCGAGTCTGTGCTCAGAGAAGGAAGGTAACAGCCTTGTAAGGCTGAAGTTACATGTGTGCACATGGAGGCCGTCCTTTCTGAGAATTCAGGAAAGAACTGGGGCATCCTGCACCACCTGTCCAGGCGCATTTGACCGGGTAAAGCAGGAAAAAATGGCACTCTACTGATTCACAGGAAGTCTGTTTGACGTAATATTGACTCTGGTAGGACTCTTGAAAGGGAAGGGCTAAGGAAATGAGGAACTTTACTTGCCTGGTGGGAAGCGGGGCTTCAGTCACCCAGAGCTCCCTGTGAGGCGCCTCCAGTGAAACCCACCTAGACTGCAAACATACCACGTTTGGGTGAGGTGGCTGCTGATTCCAGGGGCTCTTGGCTCTGTTTTTGTTGGAGATGGCTCCTATCTCTAATCATAATCCCTCTGGTGGCAAAGAAAAAAATAAACCATTTCAATCCCTCCTATCTGTGGGTCTCATACTCTTTATCTCAAGAGCCTGGAGCATTTCAGTTTCTGGAGAGAGGAGAGCTTTGCCTGGAGGAAGAGTGGCAGCTGGCTTCTGGTTCTTTAGCATGTGGTCTCAGCTCTAGTCCAGTGGGTGAGTGGTGGGCACCGGACTCTGGGTTGGGTGACACGGCTTCAGGGTTAGCAGTATTAAATGCCTTCTAGGACACCCTCTAGGCACAGCAACAGGGACATGTGGCTTGGCAGTGATGCAGAAAGTTTTCTAAGCTGTAATTAGCAGAGTAGCTACAACTGCCTTTCTATAAGGAGCTATAGATGGTGGGTCTGGGGGCTTAGAGCCTCAGTCTCTAAGCTGGGCTGAGAGGCTTAGGTGGGTGAGTGACAGTGGTGTCCCTGTGAGCTGTAGGGCAGCAGGTAGGAGGGGGTATGTGTCATGACCTTGGGTGGCTGGTTCTGTATTCAGTGTGGACTGGAAGTGCTGGGAGGCCAGTGATATGGTGGGCCAGGGTCTGGGTTGCAATGTGGATCTCCTGGGGTGCAGGACCAAAGTCAGGCTGTAATATATATTTGAGTGTTGGACCTCTGCCTTATAGCCAGTTTCTGGGCTTTCCAGTCTGGTGGGGAGAGGTCAACTGCTGGATTCCTTGGATCAACTTTTAGTCTCAAAGTGGTGGAGTATGGCGGGGGGATTTTTCTAGCTCTTTTGAGAGGCAGCTTATGTGTACTCTCCCCTTACACACACATACACACAATTTGAATTTGTGACCTTGGGTCTTTGGTGTGTAAAGTGAGAAGACTGCCCCCTATGGGTTAAGACATAGGATTCTTTTTCTTTCTATTACATTTCATTAAATCTTTTATCCTGAGATCAGAAAATTGCTACAATACTGTGGGAATCACAACCATAAACCCTGCTGAAATGGGATTGTCTAACGAATCAGAATCTAAATTTACTGACAAGAAGAAAAGATCTGACAACAGGCTATGTCTCCAGCATACTGCCTTTTTCTAAGAGCACCCTTCCCCATAGCCTTTTCTTTCTCAAATTTATTTTTATGTGAAAGGCATTGAACATAAAGCAAACATCTCATAATTTACCACTTTTTTGGGTGTAAGTTACAGAACTGATTCTCCAACTTGACTGCATGTGGGAGTCATCTGGTTTAAAAAAGTTGGTGCCTGGGTCGTACCCTCAGAGATTCTGATTTAATTGATTTGAGTGCCATCATGGGATTTTAAAAGTTTCCCACGTGGGGTTAATGTGCATCCAACTTGGAGAATCACTGAGAGAGAAACTATAAAAATACTCTCTTCCCAAAAGGAAGAAAGAAGACTATTTGCAGATAGATTCCCCGCCCCCTCTTTTTTGTGCGGGCTTATGTAGACACAGACATCACATACATGCATATGGTGGTCTACAGCTTTTATTTATGTATTATGGCAGTTTTTCCATGTCAGTACATGAGATCAGCTTCTATAGCATTGGTGTCCGTGGATTCTACAATATATTTAGCAGCAATTTTCGTTGCTAAACTATGATATATGTTGTAGCATATGATACCCCAGTGAGCATTCTTATGTAGACCTCTGCCTATGCAGAGTTTGTTTGTTTGCTTTTAAGAAAAGATTCCAGATGTGGGATTTTGGGGTCACAGGGTGGGTATGGTCATAAAGTTTTAGGAGCAGTACAGAGTTCCCCTTTCCTTGGCCTATATGATGCCTTTCCCCAAAGGCCCATTTATTAGCGGATTTAATGTGGAGTAGAACCTGAGTTCCAATCCTTTGGCTGTAGGACCTTGAGTTATTTTAAACCTGTAAGATGGTAATAACATTCCAACCCAGGTAGTTGAGGATTAGGTGATGCAAGAGAAAGCATCTCATGAGGTTCTGCCTTTGAATCTGAAGCTGCAAGGCAGCATCATCAAAGTTTTCCTCTTGGAGGAATGAATGCAAAACCTTATGAGCCCTGGCCACTGCTTAGCTCTGCTTCGTATTTTTCAATCCCATTGCTTCATCTTCAGATATTAGCAGGAAGGTTTATCTTTAAAGATGGAGGTTCTTCCTAAAGGTGGTCTCCTCCCCACCACTTCTCCCATGCCCCTCACTTTGGGGATGGAACACTTTTCCTAGCACCTTCACAAACATAATGTGCTTATGAATGCTTGGGGGTCTTATGAAAATGCAGCTTGGGATCCAGTAGGCTTGGAATGGAGCTGATATACTATATTTCTAGCAGGTGCCCAGGTTATGCTCAGTGCTCTGGTCCATAGACTGCTTTGAGAAGCAAAGTCCTAGAGCAGTGGTTCCCAGCCTCTGCTGAACGTCAGAACCACCTTGGGAGCTGTATGCTCTGGTTTTGCCAGAGAACATCGATGTAAGTAAATAAAACCAGTAAGAGGTGTTAAAGCATTTCCATTTATCTCTGCAGCTAAGCACAAACTCAAATTAAGGTATAATTCACCATGTCAGTGGAGGATTCAGGGTTTTAAGAAGACAGTTTTTACATACAAAATAAAAGTTGTTGGCATGGAAGGCACTGAATACAAACATTCTAGAATAATTCTCTCACATACCTCTAATGAGTGCTAACCCTGCTCTGTGAAGTACTTACTATCCATGTCAATGAATCTTTATACCAGTCATCCTTTATGTTCTTTATCTTACAGATGAAGAAAATTGAGTTTCCTATCTCCTTTACGTGTCTACTGCCTTCTTCTAGGCCAGGGATCCCCAACCCCTGGGCCGTGAACCGGTACCGGGCCGTGGCCTATTAGGAACTGGGCCGCAGAGGTGAGCGGCGGGGGAGTAAACAAAGCTTCATCTGTATTTGCAACTGCTCCCCAGTGCTAGCATCGCTGCCTCAGCTCCACCTCAGGTCATCAGGCATTGGATTCTCATAGGTTGGGGACCACTGTTCTAGGCTCTTATCATTTCTCCTTGCCTGGATCTAACTGACTTAGGTCTCCAGGTTCCTCTCCCTTGATATGTTTCTCCTGCTCTCAGAATCACCTGCAAACACAGTTGGGTATGTGTGTCTTGCAGACCTGTGCTGGTTCTCCATTGTCTACAGAATCAAGTTTACACTCTGCAGTGAGGTCCCAGGAACCTCGCTGAGCTCACTAAATGACTTGATTCTCCCATGACCTATATCTTCATGCCACAGTGTGTGTTTTGCTGGCCCCTCACCCTGGAGCATCCCCTGTCCTTTTTGAACTCTTATCCATCCTTTCTTCTGACTCCATTGATGTGTAACTAATATTTCATTGGCTAGTGGTTTTTATGGGTGCATGCGAGGGACATATGTACATGTGGATTCCATGGCTGTTTAAAATGGTCCAATGCCACCCAAATAGATGAATGTTCTGGGAGTTTAGAAAACTGAGACACTGCACAGAACTAGCTAGGTCCTTGGGAGTCATAGGAAGAATTTGGCATTGAGAGGTGATCAAGGAAGGGATTTATTCAAGAGAAGGCTCAGCTCGTTTCAAGGGGGGTGTGTGTGCATGTGTGGATGAGGGAGCAGAAGGGGGTGTCTCTTCCTGCCCACCCACCTCTGGCGGCCCATCCAGAGTTACAGGTGTAAGTAGAGGTGATGTGCTCCTTTCAGGGGGAGGGGAAAGGAGAGCAGACAGCTCTGCTCTCAGCTGTTGATTGTCTTTCCTGTGCACTTGCCTCGGGGTCTTCTCACCAGGCCCTCATGGCATCCTTCTCTCCCTCTCCTCCTGTTTCCAGGTATAATCACTTCAAGCCTCCAGGATGGCCATCCAATTCCGTTCACTTTTCCCCTTGGCATTGCCTGGAATGCTGGCACTTCTCGGTTGGTGGTGGTTTTTCTCTCGTAAAAAAGAGCACGTCCGCAGCCGCAGCACACGAGTGGAGGCCGGTGGTGTGGAGCTGAGGGCCAGACCTGCCGTTGAGGAACCTGTTCCTGTGGCAGATGATTGTCCTGGAGTAGTGTCCACATCCTTCTCTGTCACCCAGACACCAGAAAAGGAGCCGGCCACCGAAAGCAAGCCTCGTGCAGAGCTGTCAGCCTTCTGGGCACATCCAGCCTGTCTTAGTTCAGAGTCCTCAGGCAGTCTTCCTAACACCATGGACACAAGATTTCAACCAGGAACACGCAAAGACGACAGCACAAGGGTGGAAGTAGCCCCGAGGGGTGACGAAGACAAGTCTGTTCTAGAGTGCTCCCTTCCGTCCCCAAAGGCTGTTCCGTTCCCCCACAAAGCGGCTGAGGTGTGTAAGCATGAGGCAGGGCAGGGCCGGCAAGGCCAGTCTGCAGCCCCCATGGAGAAGCATGGCCCTGGGGAGAAGGCGAGAGAGACTGGTGGGGCCGAAGGCACTGGCGACGCAGTGTCGGGAGAAAGTGTGCTGGAAGAAGGTGTGCTGTCCCAGGAGCGTGGCTGTGAATTGCAGTGCAGCAGGGTGCCCAGCCTGGCTCCCTTGGGAGGAGGGGGAGAGGAAGGGAAGAGCAGCCTGCCTCAGGTGGAAGGGGAGACAGTAGAGAAGTTGCTGAGTGGCCTCACTGAATCGGCTCACGTGGAGCTGGCCAAGGACGACGAGACGCTGGCATCCCGCGTCAGAGGTGGCAGAGCCTGGGACGGAGATGTGTTAGAACTGGGCAAAGAGGAGACCTTGGATGAAAATGAGGAGATTGAGCAGGCTGCCTTCCAGATCATCTCCAAAGTGATCTTGGAGGCGACTGAAGAAGTGCTGGCCACCACCATGGGCAAGATTGCCGGCCGCATGTGTCAGGCCTCAGGCGGTCAGCTCCAAGGGCAGAAGGAGGAGAGCTGTGCCTCAGTTAGCCAGGAAACTGCCTTAGGGCAAGGTGCCGTGGAGCCTACTCTGGCCACAGTGGAGGTAGCCTCGGGCCAGTCAGATGCTACACTTCCCTCACCATACCTACCAGCAGAGGACCTGCCACCACCAAAGACCTATGTGAGCTGCCTGACCAGTCCTCTGTCCAGCCCCATCAAGGATGGGAAGCCAAAGAACTCTGTGCACCACATCTCCCTGGCCCCCTCTTCACCACCGGCTGTCCCCCTCGGAGGTTCACTGGACAGTGCAAGTGTCCTGGCGGAAGACGCCTGCATGTCTGACAACAGCCAGAGTGTGTCTTCGGTGGCCTCCTCTGGACAGTGCTCAGATTCCATTAGCACTTCAGGGCTTGAAGACTCTTGTACAGAGACCAACTCTAGCCCCAAGGACAAGGCTACCACCTTGCTACTGTCGGAAAGTACTGTGCCCTTTAGCAATGGGGTGCTGAAGGGGGAGTTGTCAGATTTGGGGACTGAGGATGGATGGACCGTGGACGCAGAAGCAGATCATTCGGGAGGTAGGAGGGTCTTGGGCATTTCTCACTTAGAAGACCACGGGTCCCCCTTTTTTCGATAGGAAAGACTGCTGGTCTGCCTCTCCCTCTGCTACTTCTGCAGTAATGGTGCTCTTCAGCTATGCGTCCCAACTGGCCCGCAGAAAATCGAGGCCCAGCATAGAGCTGATGGGTAACCGAGAAGTTGGGCTGCTCCGAATCTCAAAGCCATGGCAGCTG